AAAGCCTTGAGAGTACATGCGCAGTTTGTAGGTGTTAGTCGCGTCTCCTGCTCACTACATGTGGCTTCGAAGGAATCAACGCATTCGGACGAAAGTATCACTCACCAGTGTACTTGGGCTCCAGCTTGTCCAATCTACGGAGCCGCAGCTTGACCTCTGGCGGGATTTCGGGTGGCTGTTCCGGTTTCTCTTGCGCTTCTGTCTCCGCCTGCGCCTCCCCTTCTGCGACCTGCGCCTCCTCTTTCTTATCGTCACCGTTCTCGGTCGTGGCATCGGCTGTTGGCACCTTTTTCTTAGGGCGCGGTGTGGCAGCTCGGCTTGGCAGCTCCTCGTCCTCGCCTATGACAAAGTCCGGGTCGAATTCAGAGGGATCGGGTCCCTTTCCAGCGGGCACGGCTTTGCTGCTATCGCCATCTTTGGATCTCGCTGTTCGTTTCGAGGGCGATAGATTACGGGAATTGGAGCGCCGTGCTGTAGCTGAATTGGATCGCGAAGGTCTGGTCTGCAGGGCGGCTTGCTGGGCGGCTTTCTGGCGGGCCTGTTCCTCAGCAATCGCGTCTATTGCCCCTCGAATGCGCTGTGTCTCCAGTCAGCCGGGCGATGTCATAGCTCTGGGGAGTGATGTAGGCACCTGGAACATGATGAAGTTGTGTTATAAAGAAGGATAATAAGACATGCAAGAAGAAACACCCAACCGGCTTGCTAATCGAATGTCGGACGCTGGACCATGGGCGGGCACTAAGAGTATCCGGACACGTTCTGGGGTCCATTGGGGCTGGGATTCAGGCGATGCGCTAGGATCAGCGTTCGGTAAACTAGCGCCACAGCCAGGGCTGCCCCGAATCCGAACTTTTTCTCCCGCAGCCTGGCTTCCCCCACCACCATTACCATCACCATCATCACCACAACAATGGCAAACGTGGAGATTGCACTCCCCCTCCCGGTCTTGCCCGAGGGCTGGGCTGGCGAGAAGGACTTCAAGGCAACCGGCCAGCTGAGCGAAGCCAACGACCGCAACATTGAGCCTGTCGGCCCACACTTCTTGGCCTACGCCCGCAGAGTATGTTCAACATCGCCGAGCCACACAACATTAACGCTAATTCCCCCATGTAGAAGCGTCACAAGCGCACCTTCTCTGAAGACGACCGCATTCAGGCCCAGGCCAATGTCAAGAGCGTCGAGGAGGAGGATCCCGATGATGTTGACGAGCCCGAAGACCCTCTGATGCTGCAGCGTGAGGCAAAGGACTGGAAGGTAAGCATCACTAGGGATATCCCTGAATCGCACTATATTAACATGGCATGCAGTCTCAAGACCACTATGCTGTGCTTGGTATAACCCGCTACCGATGGCGCGCAACCGACGACCAGATCAAGCGCGCCCACCGCAGGAAGGTGCTCAAGCATCACCCCGACAAGAAGGCGGCCAAGGGCGGCACCGAAGACGATCAATTCTTCAAGTGTATCCAGAAGGCTCACGAAGTCCTGTCCGACCCCGTCAAGAGGAGGCAATTCGATTCGGTGGATGAGGCCGCCGAGGTTGAGCCACCATCGAAGAAGGAGACGCAAAAGGGCAACTTCTACAAACTCTGGGGCAAGGTGTTCGAGGCTGAGGGACGCTTCTCCAACCAGCAACCGGTACCCAAGCTTGGTAACGAGAACAGCACCAAGGAGGAGGTTGAGCACTTCTACAACTTCTGGTACAACTTCGACAGCTGGAGATCATTCGAATACCTTGACGAGGATGTACCTGACGACAACGAGAACCGCGACCAGAAGCGTCACGTTGAGCGCAAGAACCAGGCCGCCCGCCGCAAGAAGAAGACTGAGGATACTGCCCGTCTGAGGCACTTGGTCGACGACTGCCTTGCTCTCGATGAGCGTATCAAGAAGTTCCGTCAAGCCGAACACGCACAGAAGAACAAGCGCCGTCTCGAAAAGGAGGCTGCTCAGAAGCGAGAGGCAGAAGAGGCCGAGAAGAGGAAGGCCGAGGAGGCCAAGGCTGCCGCTGAGAAGGAGGCTGCTGAGAAGGCGGCAAAGGCCGACACGAAGAAGGCCAAGGAAGCCGCGAAGAATGCGGCAAAGAAGAACAAGCGTGTGGTGCGTGGTGCGGCCAAGGATGCCAACTACTTCCACGGTGATGGTGAAGCGCCCGCGTCCCAGGTCGATGCTGCTCTGGCCGATGTGGACCTCATTATCACCAAGCAGGACCACGAGGAGCTGGCGGCATTGACGAGCAAGCTCAACAACGTCAAGGACGCGGCCAAGATCAAGGAGATTTTCCAGGAAGAGGCGCAGCGCCTGATTGGTGCCTCGAAGCTCACCCAAGGCGAACTCCGGGCATTGGGCTAGACTTTTGTGAGGGCGGTTACGATAGACATGTAGACTTGAACGTGGATGGCAATGATGACAGTTTTGCTTGTGATTGGTGTGCATGTTGACTGTTCCCAAAGCGTCGTTACTTGAACGGGACATTGGTGCATGTGTGTATGTGTAAGTACATGTGCTTCTTTTTTTCCCCATAATTTTACTATGTCATGGACGACGGATGCGCCAAACGCGCCAGACGGGTGGATGTCCAATAGGCCAGGGTCTGGAAGGCATGGCGGATGGTTCGACACATCACCAAGCGCTTGCCGTCACTCAGAATAGGCAGCGCATTGACAGCGACTAAGTAAGTAGATGCTCTCTTTCTCGCTGCCCATTCTCCTCCACCCGCCACCTACAGCAGACAGACGTCTTCTGCCCGTTACCCACACCATCGCTAGTTATCCCCAACTACCCCGCGAGCTCCCATTCCCCCGCGCCAAGGGCATTCATCCGACGCACAGCAGATCCCGTTGCCAGTGCACGCGCGCATTGCCAGTGGGGTTTTCTGGTGCCGGCCGACCTGCAACACATCTTTACTGTAGTACTCAACCCTACTTCAAGTGCTCTCGCTGCTTGTCTTTGCAAAATCCACCATGAGTGCTTCTCCAAAGACCAAGGACGGCCGCCATGCCTCACCAGCGCCGCGCAAGTCTTCAGGTCCCTTTCCACCCAGCCCGCTGCAGACTGTCAGCGGCGCAAAGCCCGCACTCGAGGAAACACGGCGGCCGTCGACGATCCAGTTTCTGGCGCATAGGAACGCATCATTACCGAGAGGCACACCCAGACCCCGCGAGCGACGTCGGCTATCGTCGCCGCCGCCTCCACCGTAAGTACTGCCCCAGCGATGCATTCCTCCTGGCTATGTTTGCGTGCGCTCTTCTGGAATATCCTCGGTTCTCTGTAAATATATATGTATATAAAGAAGAAAGACTACAACCAAGGACGAGTACGCTTGGCTGGGCTTTTGGAGTTAAACGTCAGACTTGCTTAGTCTCCCGGGCTCAGCCTGCGCAAACCAAGGCTAACCAGCGAGCCCAGTGTTTTCCAGAACCGAGTGTCTTTTGACACATTTGACAAGCCCGCCGACTTTATCGAAGAGAGCTCCTTCACACTCATTGCCAAACACAAAGATTACGAGTACACGAAGCGCTCGCGAACGTTCCTGTGCGGTTTCGACGAGAACGAGTATTCGGTATATGCGCTTCAGTGGCTCATCAACGAGCTAGTGGACGACGGCGACGAGATAGTATGCCTGCGCGTAGTCGAAAAAGAAGACGCAATAGCTGGAGACCGCAGTGTCGAGTCGGGCCGGTACCGCGTTGAGGCTGAGAACACAATGGCAGATATACAGAGCCGCAACCACGACAACAAGGCTATCAATCTGATATTGGAATTTTCAATAGGCAAGGTCAACAAGGTCATAGACGACATGGTAAGGATGGCATGGGGTATGTCAGGTATTGGGGGCTGACCAGGGTGCAGATTAACCTCTACGAGCCCGCGATTCTAGTAGTCGGAACAAGAGGCAAGAGTCTAGGTGGCTTCCAAGGGTTGCTTCCTGGAAGTGTGTCAAAGTATTGTCTGCAGCATTCGCCAGTTCCTGTCATCGTTGTTCGTCCAACGTCGAAACGCGACAAGGCAAAGAGCAAGCGCACGAACGATCCCGATAGGCAGGGTTACCGAGAGCTGCTTGCGAAGAGCGAGAGACTGCCAGAGTATGACAGCCCGCGAAACACTTTCTTTGCGAACGAAGACGAGGCAGCGACAGTTGGAGCGGCGGCAACGGCACCTAAGCCTGTGGCGGAAACAGCGCACCCCTTGGCACAGGTTGAGCGTGCGCAAGATAGCAGCGATGATGAACTGGAGACAGGCAATAGCGATGGGCTGCTTGGAGATGATCCACGAAGTCCAGGTCCCATGATGAAGAGCCCACATCTACAGAATCTCGACAGCCCGGAGCTGAGCAGCCAATCCAGCAGTGAGGACGAAGATGAGCGGGGCGAAGGCTCAACAATGACTGGAGTGTCTACTGTGGATGTGACGTCGCAGAATGCCGATGCAAGCACCGAAGAGCCCAAGGCGGCAGAAAGCCCCGAGGCGCAGGAGAGCTCCAAGTCGTACGTGGACAGTCTCATAAAAGGAGCTCAGGAGGGGCCTGAAGATGCGGCACCCGCTGGAAAGGGTGCACCAGAAACATAGTTTTACTAGCAATAGCCATGTTGATTTGTGGTCTCCAAGACCATGTTCTGGTGCTCTACAATGCTTAGTGTGTACTAGCTATGCGCACTGGTTGGATTTACACTCTCTGTGATAGACTCTACCTACTTTCTGTGGACTACGTAGTGGCATGTATGTGGGTGGGGGGCAGTGCAGGGTGTTTGGCTCCGAGATCCCTGCCTGATCGACATGATGACGTTTCGTGTGGCTGCGGGCTGCGGGTGCCACAGCCCTCGCCGGCGCGTTCCTGGCTATGGCCCGACAGTTGGATGTGGGTGAGCTTGCACCTCCAACCCCAAACCACCACCTCTGATGTGTAAACGTAGCCACATTGTCTCTCGTCATTGATGGATACCCGCGCTTCCCCCATAACCAGGACAAACTGGCAGTAACACTCGCATTCCCCCAAATCCAATGTTCCCGCCAAACCCAGACGACTGCGACGAGTGTGTGCCGGACTATGCCCGCCAATCGAGTCCCATGGCTGTCGCCGTCTCCGCCTTGCCTTTTATCCTTACCTTTCTCGGAGTGGCCTTTGTAGTATCGCACAAACTGTTCCCCATCTTGTCGGGCTATACACATCGCAAAGCGCAGCATGAAAACCCGCGTCCTTCCAACCTGGCCCAGCGCGACAGAGCTTCTTTCTTCCGGAGCTTACGCCCGACAGCAACCTCGCTCGCAAGCATCATATTCTCCACCAACTTTGCCCTCTCTGCCGTTCTAGTCGAACTGATTCTATGCGAAATCTCAAACACCATTGATCGTGCTACTCGGTCCCTAGCCCTCAAGATCACGCTGCCCTCGCTACTCTTCCTTCTTGTCGTCGCGACACCGGCCTTCGAGATACACTCCTTCATATCAGGAACAGGCTTGGAATTTCGGGGAGAACGCTCATCACGACGTAGAGCAGCATGGGCTTTGGAGCTAGCTGGCCTGGCAGCCTGGCTCGCCTGTTTCTGGTACCTGGGACGAGGGATTCTAGGCTCGTACCTACACGAAGCATCGTATGAGCACTCTCATACTTTTAGTGAGGGTTGTCTTGAAAGAATTGGAATAATTGGCATCAGCTTGATGGCTTCCCTCGCTGGCTTTGCTGCCATATCTGCCCTGTGGCACACGTTCGGTGTCCGGTACAAGCCCGTGAGTTTTTTGTTAACTGAGCAGATTGCGCTTGATCGACTAAACTCCAACAGGTCACGGAATCGGATATTGCTCGCAAACAGGCTGGGCTCCAGGCAACAAACGACATGCTCTTGGTCAAAGAAAGTCGACTTCGCGCAATCGAGCGTAAACTGTCGGAGAATCCTCAACAGGGTTTCATGGGTCGAGTGGTCGGCTCGATTCGCGCCAATCCGGATGCGCAGGAACGAAGCACTCTGCAGTTGGAAATACAGGGCCTTGAGACGATGCGCCATTCACTGCAGAATTCAATGACTGTTCTCCAGAACAGACGACAATCGCAGCTGCGCGCACACACTGCACATGGACGACTGTTGAACCTGTTTTCGTATGTATTTGCAGTCTATTGCGCATACCGTATCGGTGCAACGACCATCAGTACTCTCCGTCGCCTCTCGTCTCCCAACGCAAGCTTTTCGAGCAGTGATCCAATCAACAATGTCCTCGCTCTCCTGGCAAAGCACTGGGATCCGACCATTGATCGAGTGGCATGGAGTCGTACCATTTCGTTCCTACTCTCCGGCGTCATGCTTCTTCTTTCATTCAACAGCGTCTTCCAGACATTTTTGCTATTTGCGAAGGTCGTGCCTGGCCTGTTGTACCACACAAAGACAAACTTTGCACTCATCATCTCGCAAGTGGCAGCAACCTATGTCATCAGCTCGGCGCTGTTACTCCGTAGCAATCTGCCACCGGAAATGAAGAGCAGGATAGGAGATGCATTGGGTGCGCCATTGGAGCCTAGATTTACAGAGAGATGGTTTGAGGGCTGGTTTCTAGCTGCAAGCGCAGCGACAGCCCTAGGAATCTGGTTGGGTAAACGATTAAAGGGAAGTGAATGGGATGACGACGGAGATGGAGGCGACATAGACGTAGAAATGGGGAAGCGGAGCACATAGCAATTGTGTTAGATAGCACCTGCATATGACTACTGAATACAACAATCATTGATTGACATAAGGGAGTGAACGGTATAGGGCTCCCCCGGGTCTTTTGAATATGATATGTATGGTTGGGGCTGTACGTGGTTAATGATAAGAACCACCGGGTAGGCGTGTATTCAGACGGCGGCAGGTTGTTAGCAAGCATCTCGTGCGCTTGCTAAGCACCAACCACCCCGGCCCACAATAGCGTGCCATGCAATGTGCAGCGCTTTGATGAGGTTGACGTCGATGTTGCCCGATCTGAAAGTGACGTCAGGTGCAGTGGGGCAGCTTCGCAGATGAAAAGGCACGAGGGGCCGCTCTTCTTGAGAACCATTACACCCACGCTTGCAACCATCTCTGACATTCACTTTTGCAGTGAGTATTTGCTGTCGAATTCAAGTCACAGTGCAGGGAAGCTAATCGAAGGCAGAATTTCCAAACCCTAGACCAAACGTACGTTCTCTCCTCTTATCGCGTCTGTTCCATCAGCTAGCTGTACATGAGCTTCACCATACCCCCAAACCTGCAGTTGCATTCCCAATAAAACAATGCTTCGGATCATGTTACACCCCAAATTCGTCGTCTGGATCCTTTCTTTGGGAACTCGATTGGGATATGTCGCTACTTCTCTGCACTGTCAATCCTAACATTCACTCTTTTGCTGGTATCGTTCTCGTATCCAGCAACAAGCACTAACTCCGAGCAGCTCTTCTACCTAATCAACTCTCTATACCAAAATGTCTGCCCCCAACGCCGGCCGCCAATCTCCCGACCCAGAGCGCCAGTCTGGTGCTCAAGCCGGTCAGATCTCCGACAACGTCAACCAACAGGGCGCTGGACCCAAGGAGGGCGCCGAGAAGTCCAGTGACAACACCAAAGACGCCCTGAGCTCAAACCCCGAGCACCCTCTTAAGGAGCACAGCGAAGAAACTACCAGCAAGAAGGCTTAGATTGGCAGGTATGAGAAGAGGGGAAGATGCCACGGTAGATGATAGGATAAATATAAAGACTGCATAATTAACAGGCAGTGGGCAGTCTGAATGCGAAATGAAGAATCGAATGAAATGATAATCTATGACCAAGCTTTGAATGTTCCATAGCCTGTGGAGTGCCCTTGCCGTGCTGACATCTCAGGCCCTGACATGGTAACCCATTCGGTCTACATCGCCTCTCCTTTTCTTCATCAGTGTCAAACATCACTCATGTTTCAGTCTATCCTACATCAAATCAGCCAAGGGCTATTAAGATCACATTCGATAAGCTGAGATCTACAACGCTTTCGTCGTACTCTAAAAGTCCATTAGCAGATGCAGAGTAGGCCACGTCGCACGATGAAAGTATGGATACCAGGTACCCTAATCAAGCCTCCAGTTATTGTCAGATGAAATGTCCGTAGTTTAACGGTAACTCGATTGAAAAGAAATAGGACGTTTGTAACTTGCGACAAAAGTAGTCCTCACTTCTGACACCAGCAATAACAAACGTCTGGGATCTCATTAATTTGCCTATTACTACGGCGATTCATGCATCTATATACTTAACATAACTTACTACAAAGAACCTATTTGTGAATCAATCAACATATTCCAGTAACAAGACACCTGATAGCTGAAAAAATGGGAATCGTAGAAACTGGACTGTCTTAAGACACAACACACCATGGCCATAGAGATGATGGTCTTTTAAACGTTGATTTTCCGACAATAGGCTTCCTGCAACGACAATCATGTTTGCTTATAATCAGAAATGAGAAGAAATTAATCTTAATTCCATGGATATTTATTTGGATGCCCTCACTAATCTGATGCTCTCTATATCCGCAACGAGATGTATCTGTAAACTAACACTGAGCTACAAACGCTATACTCCAGACGGTCATCTAGGGCGAGACTGGTCTTATGCATTGATCCTGGCTACAATGCGAGAATTAGACCGTAAGACTGCTATGAACTACATCCTCCTCCCTAGTCGCATTCGAGAAGCTATTTCCATCTCGGACATAGATCACAGTGGCGATGACAAAGGAGGAAGCGTATGATAATTGTGACAATGCCGACCGTGACCTCTTTCTATTTACATGAGGTTAAAGTATTATTACACCACCGCGTCTTGGTCCGGACCCTGGCAGGCAAGGCGAGACGAGGCGAGGCCAACGATAGTGGTACTATGAGGGTTTCCACTAACAACATTGAACGTTTAGCAAATACGACTAAGGATGAGATTGTACTAACTTCACTGAGTGAACGGGCAAGAGAAAAATATGTACAAGTTTCGAGTGTACTGCGTCAAGTGCGATAATGAGATTCGTTCGCCCTTGTATCTTCACTGCTATCAATCCAACCACATGTACCATCTAGTATTTCACATTAATTCTTTGCATGTATTAGCATGACCGTCTACCTTTCTCTATAGAATCCATAGATGGTTAAGTCTTGAGTCAGTTAGTATATCACGTGATTCCTGTGCACAGAGTTGAAAATAGCCTAGGTTTGCCTGCAGACTGCACAACATATCGGAATAATTTCAATGGTATCGGCTCAAAAGATTTTCAGTCTATCAAACCCTGGAATCCAGGGACATCCTGAGATGTTACCTACGCTATACGGCCGGTTGAGTTTATCCAGGCTATAAAGGCGTAATATCAAATTTCATTATAAAATCTCATCGGGCGCTTGGTCTAGGGGTATGATTTTCGCTTCGCATACTCTCAATGTGCGTACTTGTGAAAGGTCGTGGGTTCAATTCCCACAGCGTCCAGATACATTTTTGCACTTGAAGATGAATCAGGCTATCGACTTGTTTTTTTTGTTGAGGAATGACAATGAGTGCGTGGTGACAAGGGAACTGGTACGGAGGTAGGGGATGGGTGGGGGTGGAGCACTAGGCTGGTGGTCGGGATTACATACGGAAGTTTTTCCTACGAATATCGCATGCTACTTAGATATTTAGTATAGCTCTGCAATATCTTTAAGACAGATTTCTCGTTTCTTAATATTGGATAATTTGCCATTGTTTACGCAGGGGTCTTCAGCTACTCAAAATAGAACTCAGGTTGATAATGTGTCGGCGTTGAAATTGCGTTCAGGAAATGCCCCGCTTGATCCGAAATGATAAAAATGATCAGCATGGTTAAGATACAAGGCTATAAAGGTGTTTTACGAGGCGTCCGTTTGGCATAGTACTTGTAGAAACAAAAAAAGTGAAAGCATCGTTGCGAGTTGACAGGCGAATTTGGGTTGCGTATCACACCCTACGAGATTATTCTTCTAGAACATATACACTGCAACTGAGAAGTAAAAGACAAGAACATGTCTGTGTGCTAGTCCATATAACTTCTCCTAGATGGTACCCCCTAAGCATCGTTTCCTTGAAGAACAAAAAACCACACGTCCCAATTCCCCAACACAAACACAATGGCTTGATCAAAAGAACCGATTAGAAATTGGCTTAGAAGCCTATAATACAAGACGGGGGAAACCCACATCCGTCGCAGCCATGAACCCATTATCTCTACCTAGCCTTCACGCCCCTCCTACTCTTCCCACCCTCATAATCCACAATTCCCCTCTTGCGATGATTCTGCGCGGTCCTCCACCTAACATACAGCATAACAGCATCCTTGAGCCCCACGAAAAGACATCCACCGACGATACTCCTCCCCCAGCGCGTTTGCAGGAGCCCCGTCGGCTTGGCTGCGCCTCCAATCTTGCTGCCGCCATTCTTGACCCAGCCGCCGAGCCAGGAGACGGCCGGGGAGCCAGACGGGGGGTTGACCCATGAAGCGGGAAGGGTTTGGCGTAGGAGTTCGCCTATGGCGGCTGCGATGGTGGGGAAGATGAGGGCGCCGAGGATGGTGTCTGAGAGGGAGGTTGTGGAGAAGGTGACGCCGCGTTCGCGTCGGACGTTGCGGGGGCGCTGAGCTGCTGGTTGCATGGGTACATTTGGTGCAGGGGCGGGGTTTGCGCGAACATCGACCTCAGGTGGTATCTGAACATTGTTTTCCCAATTGCCTTGTTCTTGAGGCGCGCCAGCTGCAGGCGCGTCGTTGTTGTCTGCATCGTCGCCGTCGTTCCAGTCGGCGAAGATGTCAAAGTCAAGCTCGATTTCTACCTCCTCGACAGCATCGCCCTCGTCATCGTGCGCATGGTTGTTCTGGGCCTGGTTTGGAATCTCTGCATCAGTGTTCTCGCCTGCCCGGGGTTGGATCTCTCTAAGCCACTGCTGCTCCCGCGGCAGCCATACGCGCTCGTAGTATGCATTATAAAAACCTCGAATATATGGTAGTGCGGCAAAGGAGAAGGCAGCGCTTGGCGGCCACTGTAGCTGGAGCATCTCGTCGCCTGGATGACCTGAGCTGACGAAGAATATGAGTGGAAGAAAGGGCAAGAACGAGTCTGCGAATGTTGTTCTGCTGGCAACCAGTACTGTGGGTATCAGAGGCAACCCGAGATCCAGCCTCCAGTGTTGTCGCAGGTGCTCAAGCCATTGCATAAGCACTGAATTGACGTTTCGGTTTGGCGTCTCGTAAAGGGGGCCGAGGATTTGCAGCGCATCCTCTGTACCGAATATCTGGTATATCGTCGCTGTGCCAGACAGCGTCAAAGTCGAGTATAACGCTGTACCGGTGAACAAAGCAAATCCAGGAAGCGTCAGGTTGCTGACCACGCGCTCAACGCGCCTCACAGTATCCACAACATAGCTCTTCGGCCGCTGCACTTTGATCTCGCTCTTACACTGTGGACATAATATCTTGTTCGCCGTTGTGCCTGCGCGCCGCCGCGAATTGGGCGCCTCCATGTCTGCTATCCAGTCGAGGAGACACTTTTCGTGCGCAACCAAAGAGCAGGCGCAGGGGTTGCGCCACTCTGATGTTGTTTCGTCATCCTCTGTCTCGTCGTTGAAGCAGATCCAGCACTTGCGGGGCTCGTCATCCTCCTCTTGTTGCGGCGCCGCATGCTGGACGGGCGCTTCTTTCTGTTCTTGCGACGCGAGAGTGCTTGTCTGTGACGGCGGGGTGTTGAGTAGAAGCGTTTGTGAGTCGACAGATTGGCTCGAGAAACTGTCGGTTCGGCGTGTATGGTCTTGTTGCGAAGGAGAGGCTGCAGCCGGCGGCGCAGGTCTTTGCTGCGACGCGGGGCGCTGCGGCGGTAGAGACGCCATGTCGCGGGTGACTATTAGGACGCGATGAAGCACCGGTGTCGTTCGTCACGTTGGTACAAATAAGATGCGGATAGCGACGTCACGGTAGGCTATTCGGCAGGACTAGGCGTTGGGTGGTCTGCAAGTAATAGGGTGGAGCGATGCGCGAGTTTAGCTTGGTGTGTGTTACCTAGACTTCCCGAGGATCTGCAAGACGTCACCAGTGATCCGAGCCAAGTCAGACTGCCAAGATGGAGCACGTGTGAAAGAACGACCCTTACATATCATGTAGACCACCCTCACTGAAGTGACAGGCTTCCGGAGAGTACTTAAGTCACCGCAATATCTACAAGTACACAAAGGCTATTTCAACTTGCTTGAATTCCTGGTACATAGCTAACAAGGGACTCCTTCCATAACTCATTCAATTCCAGTTCAATTGACTTGACAATCGCAACTTCTAGCGCACTCAGGAAAAGCATACAACTCCAGCGCATTCATAAAAAAGTAAACAAAATCCGCCAACTGTCTGCCAGTATTTTTCTTGCTTTGTAACTACAACAGACAATCCCTTTTAGTAGCCGGCGCAAGGCGTTAATCCTGTGAGTTTTAGCAATCCTTGAGTCAATGCATTCACACATCAGCTCCACACACCTTGTTCGACCCACCAAGCCAATTCAAAGTACCTACTTCGATTTGGGTTCATCGTGACCCATTTGGCTTCTCAGATGATCAAATGCGCCGGGTCGGAAGGGTCGGTTGACGTCGGGCCATAGGACTGGCCACAGGTGCGGTGGCACTCCCACACCATAAGTCCGCTCGCCTGGCCAAACCAGATAGTTTCGCGGAGGTTCCCCATAATAATGGGGCTGTGGCTGGTAATGGTGCAGTCGTGCTTGAGCCATGTGGTGGGGCAGTTGAGCCAACTGCTCATGGATTATTTCACGATGCGACGCCCCGCTCAACGACTCGGTCGGGAAGGCTGATTGGTCTCCGACTGGCATATTTTCTTGCGCAGTGGAAGTAACATCCCGTGAGGATAATGCATTCACAGGTGGATTGTGTGGGAGCGGAGCAAAGTACGGATATAATGTGTTTTCTCGCGCAGTAGAAGGAGCGGCCCGTGAAGAGGATGTGTTGATGGGTGGATTGCGGGAAGGTGGAGAAAAATACGGGTGCGCTGTCCAGGGAATATAGGGTGATGAAGAACGATGATGGTTATATCGCCCAGTATAAGAACCCTCTCTATGATTGGGGTTGTACAGCACTGTAGAGGGACTAACCCCATTTTCATAGGTGTTATAGGGAGCTCCTTGCGTCCACAAAGGAAGTAGATTCTCCTCGTGCGTGGTCTCTGTTTGGAGGGTTGAAGACCAAGCTGGAGGCATGGGTTCAAGTTCCTCTTCAAGGTCATCGAGGCGCCAGTGAGACGTGATGCTATCCACGTCAGAGAGAGCCTTGTAGTCCCTGCAGTTGCTCCGCTGGTCATGAAAATCTTCCTCCTCTTCTGGAACTGCCCTCGAATTATTGAAAGAGATCTCAGCCTTCTTTTCAATCTTTTGGATCGGTGCCGAATCTTCGAAAGTAGTTATGTTGTTCTCCTCTATGCAGATACTGCATTGGTCGTGAGGTGTCTGCATCATGTGCTCACACATTTCGAACGTAGAGTTGATAGAAAAGTAGTAGTAGGAGTAATAGTAGATAAGTATTGCTTTTGGATGCGAGATAGAAAGTATTAATATATTACCATCAGTATGTAGTTGTGAGTGAATAGAAAGTTGTTAGAGCGTTGTAGGAACAAAAGGTCTTGTTAATATACTATGTGGAAACGATTTGGGAGCAAACCTATCCTACTGATGTAAAAAATATGAAAGCAGCCCTGCCGATGTGATGAAGAAAGTGAAAGTGAGTGACTTGTGCGGAACACTCTGCGAGCAAACTGTCTTGCCGATAAAAACAAGATCCAAGCGCCCTGGCGATGCGATGAAGAAACTGGTGGAACTGAGCGTGAAAGTTCAGAGTAACTAGCCTGGCCGTGATGTTTTTAAATAAAAGTTGAGTGGACAACCTCAGATCCATTCACCAGTCTGTAAGCGCCTATCAAGTCTTACCCTATCCTACCCCACCCTACCATCCCTCGATCTGGAATTCAAATACACGGTCTCCCTTACCGTCTTCGATTGGTTTGGCATCAACGTCGTACAATGTCCGTTCTAGATATGTCACTTTGCCTTTGTGATCACACAGCACTATGATATTCTTCTGTGTGCCATAACAGCCACTCGCTGCATCCGCCGCCTTGTTCTTGACTACATCACCAATCTCATGCGCAGGCATCTTGTGCTCTTCTAGGTGGTCCCTTCCAATAGCTGGGATGAAGATGCTGTGACGCAACTGATTCAGATACATGTCCCACTCTTCATTTTCCTTCTGGCGGGGCATGGTATCTGTTCTGAGAAGGGCCAGGAGGCGCTGGATGAATTGATCGCGAGACTCGTTTGCAGCGATCGACTCGGCAATTGCTTTCTTGGTCCATTCCTCGCCGTGAATGACCTTGGGCCATGAACGATCGCTGTATGCAGCGTTGCTCAAGGCATGGGTTTCGTCGGGGGTTTGGAGCAAACGAACTAGGCCGTGAACATCTGGAGTGCGGTTGCTAACAATGGCCAGCCCCTTTCCTTTTTTGACGACGTCTTGCATGAAGCCGTAACATAGCGAGAAGCCGCCCACGCCTTCGACACCGTCCTGTTCAATCATTCGCTTTGCGAATTCATCGGCAGTTTCTCCCTTGGCGGGGTCGCTTTTTAACCATGCATTTGGGATCAGGCCTCTGCTGCGTGCACCCTCGACAATCTTTTCATCCTCCTCGCGGTAGTTGGTGAGCACCGCAATGCGGCCTTGACGAGTGACACCCATCCAGGTGCCGTGTACAGGGCGATGAAGATCATAGCCACCTAGGACCTGCGTGTCTGGTGAAGGCCACCATGTTGCTTCTGCCGTTGGGCGATGGAGATATTCCTGTTCAGAGGTTAGTTGTATCTGCGGTTCTGAGTTGATCCGACAAGCCATACATCTCGATTGTTCAGTAGTATGAAGGGATAGTCTGGATGCGCCGTTGTGAGTATGGCGATGCACATTGTGAAGTAGGCTGTGTTTCTGTGCTTCAGCTTGGGTAGATGGAAGGATGTAGAAAGACGGCGCGTCTTGCACTTGTGTTGTGTGGCGTTGATTGATGCGGGAAGAGACGGGTTAAAGCAAGGAAGTTTGCTAAATGCAGGGCAGGCGGTGAGGATGTTTGCCAGCGAGAGGCGTCAACGCTGGCTCATATACGTGGTTCCAACAGTCACAGAGTGTGGAGTGAGATGAGACGATGCAGGCCCAGATGCAGTCGGCGTTATACTTGAGGCGCAGTTCAATGTCCTTGTGATGATCAAAAAGAGTGACGGCCCGTCAGCGACGGAGTACTGCAAGTCCGGGGATGAGATGCATTTGACATTGCTATTTATCCTTTCCTTGCACATGGCGCGTTGCATGTGCTCCCTGTGCCTCTGTGGCTCTCGAGCGGCGAGCTGGCGTGAGCAGTCGTTCTCTAGTCACGCCGCACAGCATGACCTCGCAGTGTTCCTGCAGCCGAGTCACGAGTAACGCAGCGGAGGCATCCCAAAGCGGCCCCTCACGTGACAGTGCCGCTTGCCGAGGATCCCTGTCGCCTACCGCCTGCCGCCTGCCCCAGCTAGCATCCCTGTCCTGTCCCGCGTCACTGGCCGGCTGCCGGTTGCGCCTTCCTGCTTCCTCTCACTCTGCGCCCACAGCCTCCCATGGCTCCAAATCCTTGCTCTCCACTTTCCACCGCCCAAACATATGCATAGCAGAGCCTGGAGCTCCGGGTGAACAAGACATAACCCTTCGTCGCCTTCATCTGCCCAAAAAAGACACCATGGCAGCCAACTTCGCCCCATACCAGGACATTCCCGAATCGTCACGAGCTCTTTCCCCACCACCACTCCGCTCGCCTCGAGCATCCGTCGACCGCTCCCGTACCATTGCATCGCCGCCTACACGTCCCTCGTATGACTACCAGGACTACTTCCAAGGCCAACCCCCTACATCTCCGCTTGGCGAACCCGAAACAGAGCGCATAGCATGGGACCAACCCTCGCGCAATACGTCCTTTGGTCGTTCGCGCCAAGACATTGACATGTTCACCACATCGCTAGGCTGGCGCCTCGATTACGAAGCTTGTCTGGCATATCTGTTGCTGCCGCCCGCCGGAGGTGTTTTGCTGTTGATTTTCGAGCATCAAAGCGACTATGTGCGATTCCATGCATGGCAGAGTAGCCTGCTCTTTGCTTTCATCTTTGTTCTGCACGTCATATTCAGCTGGTCGAGCTTTGTTTCCTGGGTCATGTTGCTGGGCGACTTGGCACTCATTGGCTGGCTGACATGGAGGGCATATCTCGATGGTGAGTTGGGGTGCTGTCATAAGGCACTCAGAACATTTACTAACGTTTTCGTAGCTGCGACGCTCGATCGATGCCAAGTGCCATTTTTCGGACCGCTAGCGAGCTCCATTCTTGACGACGAATAATAGAGTTATGTAGTAGCGGAGAGAATTCATGCTGAAATGATTTGGGTTTTGCAATGCAGCACGGCGTTGGTGGAGTATCGCATGGGCTTCCAGTTGCATTCTTTATGTGCTTGATCACAAGCGGACCTCCTTCACCTGGAGCAGCGCTCTACATACAATCTTCTTGACAACGCACCTAATCATACAATTTTCCACCCGTATAGAACAAAGCATGCAATGGTTTCTATCCGAATCTCTCCTGTGCAATCTGCTTGAGAAACTCCATAGTCTTGCTTTCCTTTTCCCTCCTCTCCGCCAACCTTTCATTTCTCTCTGCCTCCCTTGCTCTTGCAATCTCCTCGCGCCGTATCTCCCTTTCATTCTTCTGCCGCTCCTGCTCCCGTTTCTTCTTCTTGTACATGTCAATGCCATCGTCGCCCATGAGATCTGATTCCGCAACTTCAACATCTCCCGATTCCTTGGCTTCGCGGAAGGATTGTAGTGTCGAAGTCGTCTCGCGCTTCTTTTCTAGTTGTCGTTCGCGACTGCCCGGATCGGCACGTGGAACCAATTCATCCAGACGCTCCTTCTGCGCTTTGCGGTCGGCTTTACGGGAATAGCGCAGGTCATCCATATACTCAGACTGGCCTCGAGCCCGGTCTTCATCTCGCAACTCATTGCGATAGGTTAGGTCATCGAGTCTGGGTATGGTTGGCCCATGACCAACATGTCGCGCCAGGTCTCTCGGTGGTGCTGGACCGAATTCATCATCGCTGTCATCTTCGGCGCCTTCTTTAGGCGCATAGCTGGGCGACGCTCGTCTGGCGGGGGCTTGGGCTGACGATGCACGGTATGACTGCACTGTTTCTTGCGCCGTCCTGAGCATGGACGGGTCGTACCAGCCGCGGGCTAACTCTCCACGATTCCTGCGACGTTAAAATGACGTTTTTTCCACAGAAGATCCACGCGTACCATCGACTGACGAAACTCTTCCATCGTCCCTTTGCTTCCCGCTCATCCAGATCGTCTAGTTGAATCTGCTTTTGTATATCCAGGTAAGATTGGAATAACGGTCTATACTCGTCATACTGGCGTTTTGATAGTAGCTTTGCCTTGTACGGCAAATCTACAGGTTTCCGCTCAGGCGAACGCGATCGCGTCCGCGTCCGTTTCTGTCGGTAGCCATCACCATCACGGCGAGGAGAGCGCGAGCGGTGCGAATGATGATGGCGTTTGTGACTACGCGTACTGCATGGTAATTGATCAGCGCGTGGCGGGAGTTGCGCTCTGGATTCTTCAGGTGTCCAATCTCGGCGTGGCATGATTGAGGTTGTGGGATTAGCGCAGCGCGAACGAGACAAGTTCAGACTTTACACACCGCCAGCGGGCCGTCCCGCTCGCTTGGCATTACAGCATCCACTTTGAATTATAGTGTTTGCTTTCGGCACGTTCATACGAGAATATGATACACACCTATAATACGTTCTTCACATTACCGAAATCCAGCCTGTAGACATATGGGCAGGCAATTACTCCATAAAAGTTCCAGCGCCCTTTTTGGAAGGAATGTCTAGGATGACGTAGTCGCATCAACCCGCGAACATTGCCTCAGTAGTGCCCCGCACTGTTCAGCCCTGGTGGCTGCCTCGATAGGTAGACATTTAGCTAGTTTTCGAGCAGGGCAACTTGATCTTACCCCATTGAACTCTCAAACTCCCAGCGTCCTTTCCACTCGAAAAATAATTTCATGATTGCTATGGCACAATCCCCCTTTTTGAAACTCACGCAGGTGACCTTTGTGCACTACACAAGATATAGTCGCATCAAAGAGTCGATGGGAGCTCTTTATCTCTTTTTTAGATACCTACGTTCAACTGCTTTCCGACGCAGAAATAACCGTAAACTTTTCTGGCGCATTTATGGTGCTGACTACATCCTTAAAAGACCAGTTTTATTAGATTATGGAGGAGAAGCGTCAAGATGCGCATTGTTTCGCTCTTAGAACAATGTGATGGCCACCACTCGAAATACAGAAGTTCACATCCTCCTCGAAGACCTACACGGCTGCTGCGTATCGGCATCGATCAGCAAAGTAACCAGCTCTATGTCTATCTGGACACTGTACCCCTGTCATCACGTGGGACAATCGCAACACGATACTCGACACTGATTTATTGTTAGGGAAGTGATCAAGAGCACAAGTTAACAGTCTCATTATTCAAAACACTCCGAATAGAGCTTGCTGTTTCGGAGTTGCCTAGAATATTACAAGATGCCTTCTTATCGAGCTGGAATCATGATGTAAGATTTATCTGGATGAACTACCTCTGCATTTTCCAGAACAATGAAAAAGACCTGGCTCGCGAAATTGCGGACCTACCTGCTATTTCTGATAATGCTCATATCACCATTCCTGCTAGTGGAGCAGACGATAGCCGGGACAACTTTCTCAACCGAACATCTCGCTCACCTGTACAAGGCATTGTTTGGAGTCTCTCTTATGCTTGTACAGATGGTAAGTTAGGCTCAGTTGTACTGCGTTCCTGCATTGGTAATCCCATTCACTCACGTGCTTGGACATTCCAGGAATATATACCATCGCCGCAGATTTTAGAATACACGTCATCTGGGCTCGTATGGATGTGTCGAGAGACGGAACAGCATCAAGAAGAGGAGTGAGGTCCTGGGAGGACATGCATCAACTGTTTTTGTCTCTTTATCGCGGTATCAAAGAGGGCTCTGACGTCAAAGAATGCGAAATCTGGATGAAATTAGTGTGGAATGACTCAAGACGCGCGCTCAAATGTCCTGCAGACAAGATTCCGGCAACTTCAGGCATAGCAGATCTTTGGAGTAGACGAATGCTCAATGATACTTGTCTGGCCGGTCTATGGCATTACCAAATCCCACTAGCATTGCTATGGATTTGCGATCAACAATCCGAGCAACTAGACGATACGTACCGTACGCCCTCCTGGAAATCGGCCAGTTTGAAAGGCCTAGCCACTTGGAATCGAGCCATGATTACAGATATCGATCCAGAACTCGAAGTAGTAGCCTCAAACATCAAGCTTGTTCATGTTGAATTACCTTATGGCGCGGTCGCCTCAGGATCTCTTACTGTTCAAGGACATTTTTGCAGAGGAATCCCATCATTAAGCGCACCAAATTGTTTAGATAGTGAATATATCGGAGGCAAAAGCTTCGCACCCATTGATTTGCTTTCGGATAGTTCCGAGTCGACCTTGCCAGTTGTTATGTAGGGAATACACTGCCCGCAGATCTGCAAACTCGACAATTTGACAGGGCATGGACCATCTGGTCTGTTCCTACTTGAAATTAACCAAAATATATACTAGAGGGTTGTTGTTTTTCATTTCTTGACGCTTCGAATGATCTATGTCGTAGTGCACGGGCCTCCATCCGGGTCTTTACGCGCAAAAGAGTTTGCTCCTAAGGTATTCGCCTGTTCGTCGGTGGACGTCATTGTGATTATCTAGTCATACATGTAGTTACGAGCGACAGATACTACATGTGCAATTTGGATATCTGTCAAGATGCGTTGAATAACAATGTTTACAAGAAGTTTTCTGTCATGAGAGCACTGGTGACTTCATCCTGCCTTGCACCATGGGGTGATGTTATCAAGTCGCTCAATCAAGATATGCGTAGATCCTTGGTCTCGCCCCAGCTTGCATAGCGCTTAATATCTTCGGAAACTGATACGGAATATAGCGTAAACAACCTGAGGTTTCCTCTTCCATAGATATGTTGTTTTCGCTATCACGTAATCACCTTTTCCCTATCTGCCAGAGCCATACCACTGGCCTCTCCCCTCTTCGCTCTCTCGCACAATTCCATCAACTTTGGCGCCGCCCACTTGTAATCATCTATTTCCAGGTAAATTTGTCCGCTAAGCCTGACCCATAGCTTCTTAGCATGGAACGCAGTCTGAAAGTACGTGTCCATCTCCATCGCAGCTGTTCTCTTGATCCAAGCCGCAATGTGCACTGCGTCATCGACATCCAACTCTCCTTTACCTTTGTCTACCTCCTCTTTCTTTCTGAATACTAGGGGCAGCTCAACATTAGCAAACGCACACTGCCTCATAGTCTCACTCTTTGTGGTCAACACCTGCGTTCCTAGAAACTCGGCCATGCAATCTCCCCCTTTCCGAGCAATATCGTAGCAGTACTCGCGGATCTTCACTTCTCCTCCGCAAACTTGGTTGCGGAATTCGATTGCTGCTGGAACACATAGGTAAGGCGTGTAGTCCATGGTTGCGACGTAGTCGAACATGAAGATGAAGGGACTGCGACCGTTGGTGTTTTCAGGTTGACCAGGGTATTGGTAACCGTGCGAGGTGGGAATTGAGGTTCGGATGAGATGCTGGTTACGGAACGGGACATGGAAGACAGCGCAGGATCGGGGGGTGTAGAGCCATCTAGGATAGTAAGTAAGACATTCCTTGGCAAGGCTATTACGTTTGAACTTACTTGTGGCAATTACTAACAAAGAAATCCGGATTGACCTTGCTGAGGTGAGTCAAATCGATGATTCCTTGAGGCGTGTCAGTCTACAGCAGTTCTTTTTGATGTCCTTTCACTCTTGCTTAGAAAAATGTCCACGTACCAACACCATGTGCTCCGTCAATCAAACTCAAAATATCCAACTCTTTGCAGATCCCTACGAGATCCTCCCATGGAAGCCTTGCTCCAGGAAATGATGAAATCGTATCAAACATCGCCAGTCTCACCCGCTTCCCGCCCGCCCTCAAGCTTCTTACTTTCTCCCTGAATAATTTTAGAATCACATCGTCCTCAACCGGGTACACCAACTCGACCTTCTCGCACTTGACCGGCAGAATCTCACCAATGGCACCTATGGTCTTGGTGCATGCTGGGTACGCCGTCGAGAACGTCACCACTACATCTTCATCCTCAAATTTGATGTTTCTAAGTACGGTATTGACACCCGTAGTGGCGTTGGGAACGAAAACCACTTCATCATGATTTACTCCGAGCAAAGGAGCAATTGCAGCGCGGGATTTGGCGAGAAGAGGGAATGTGATAAATGAGACAAATGTATCGGGTCGTGCAATTGCGGTAGTTTGAAGAGCGTAGTGCGCTTCCCGTACAGGGGTTGGGTGTGTACCAAAAGAGCCATGGTTGAGCGGTTTATAAGTGGGTGCGAATTGAAAGTGTGCTGAGCGCATCGGGTGCCCAAAGGGCGGATGAGGCTTTCTAATAGTCATTGCTGGAGGAACAGGATGCGGTTTTGAGGTGGGTTACGGAGGTTGAGATGCAGTATTTGTCCTTCTAAACACAACTTATTCATACTTAAATACAGTCATGAGGCTCCAGAATTTTCATCTATGCGATGAAAAAGAAGGACTCACGCTAAGGGGAGTCATAGATGGAAGACGATTAGGCGTGCGGCAGCTGACGCCAAGTCACGCACGGACCATGAAGCTCGAAAGGCAGACGTCTCCATCCAAACAAGCAGCCATTTCAACCGCACTGTGTGCCTAGCGCGGACGGCAAGCAAGATGGCTCCTCTAGTCACGAAGAAAACTGGGCATGTAAAAAGCAAGTTACAACTCGGTTTGGAATTCCCAATAGTTTAGAAATCAGTGTGGTGAAATCAGGATCGTAGACTACACAAATTTTCCCATGTGATACTGGTACAGTTCCCGAACAGCATTCGAATAACTACGGCCTCGGTCCACAGCGAATCATGCGTATGGACGTTAAGAGACAAGACGCTTGTTGAGAGTGCCATCGTCGTTGATATGTTCTGAGCACAAGCCTGCTCTTATACATCAACCACGAAGCCACCTAATTGTCCGAGTCGAAATATGACGAACTCCAATTGAGTTCGACTCTATTCGGACTACTGCCATTCCTTCTCCCCTCTCGTAGCGGCTTAAATGTTTTCGAATCCGTCCAAGGTACATTGAATTTGGAACTGATCGTCCCAAAACTTTGCTGGAATTTTGCGGCCGGTCATCCACAGGTTGACGTAGCCAGCTGAGCAACGTTTCTCTCTGAAGTTGTTGAAGGCTTAGCCTGTATTTTTGGAATGAGTACATTAGCCCTCTTTACTTATCATGAAGTAGATAGAAGTCGACAGCACATACCAAGCACCACCTCATTTAGCGTGAAGAAAGCAGGCCTACTTTCGAAATTGGTACCGCAACTAATCGTGTCCCTAGCTCGGTATTTCATTCCGCTTTCTTTTCATGCTGAACCCACTTTGTGGTAAAATTCAACATCATCGCCATGGCAGGCCCATGTCCCTGCGGTCTAGCCTAGCATTACGTCTAGTGGAGCCTGCTCATCACCAAACTCGACGCCGTAAATACTTTTGCAATGTTTTCAGCAATACCAGATATATTGGAAAATGCATAGCTTACAGGAGGTGATCTCCTTGTTCGTCAACGATCTTCCCCTGTTTTTCAATTCTTGCTTCGAAGGAGTAGACAGCTTCTTCGCCGTTTTCACTTGCGCCTTTAGGTATCATGGTTTGATCAGCTCTCCCAGTACCGAAGGTGTGCGTCTCGTGCATGCCCGGCACTGTCAATCAATGTATTAGTTAAGATTACGGGATGAAGAATGAAAAGGAATGCATCAGCCAAAATTTCATCGGTTGAGACTCATGTTCAACAGTGAGAGTCTTTCCATCTCTATAATACAGTATTGAAAATAAGATATTTTTCTCATGCTATGCTGTTAGAGGCTTCTCTACCAAAAAGTCCCATATTATCGGGCCCTACTCCCTTTGACGTGTCATGAATCAACGCACTAATAGCAAAGCACTTATATCTCGATATAGTTGAGGCTGCAGTCCAGCCATTACTATCTACTTTTCTGCCCTTGTATTGATACTCCTCTAATAGTATCTCAGCGAAATCAGCTCTATTTGCTGCCACTGCTACATCCAGCGCGCTCTGGAAATGCGATGGCGGAGCCTCATTCCGTATAGCCGTAGAAAGAATATTGCAATGAGTCTGGATGAACCTGAGAACATCTGAGTATAACGAGTGCCTGCTACGAATATCTTTTAGTAAGAGATCCGGTCTTGAATCAATGAGCCTCGAAACTATGATCACATACTCAGCGGTAACTGCGTATATCGATGCGGTCTTCCTCATCGATCCTGGTTATTGACATCCATTTTCGGTTCCAGTAATTTCCCAAAAACGTAAAAACTTTGAATGCCTTCAATGGTTGAAAGTATAAGTGGTGTTTGGCCGGCATTGTGCTGATTATTGACGGCAATAGATTGGTTACATAAGTACGGTAAAATCTCAATGCCGTTCCACACAATGACACAAGAAAGGGCTCCATGGCCTCTGATACCCTGGCAGGAGAGATCAGCAACCTTTTCCAATCGAGTCTCGAGGACTTCTCGCATGCCCTTACGGATAGTCATCTGAATTCGTCTTTCACCCCATTCTGGTCATAAAGGTTTAGACTAACGTCGTCTTCTAATCGTCTCATGATAACTGCCAGATCACTCTGAGAAATAGTTGCGAGTAAGGCGGTGTCGAACCTCCCTCTGCTGACAGCATCCAAGTACAAACCCTTTTGTTGGAACCAGAGATCTATAAGTATGTGATAATTCCGCTGAAATAGCAAGCTCTAAAGGCTTTCCATTGCTTCCTGGGAGGTTGCAGAGAACCTCTTATGTTTTGTCATGTTGCTTACTGTTGAGATCAGATAGCGTGTCGTAAAACTCATTAAGATGCACACCAAGCAGAAGCAATAGATGTATCTCTATACCTATCCCGTTGGACTGCATCACATCGCCAACATTCTTTCAATATATTAGTGGCTTTGCTGATTGGCTGGCTCTAGGACGCTTCCATCTTTGCTGCTAAGAGAAAAAATTGCAACTACGAGATGTGCATGTATCAGGTCGCATTAGTGTACTCCCATTTGTAAACAAGCACGATATTAACCCAGCGAGATAAGGCGCATGTAGACATCTAGGGAGAAATTCGATGTTCGATCCCAGACCACATCCCTGATAGATATAAGTCGTTCTTGGGATCTTCTATATATGTGCCTAGGAATTTTCAGCTCTTCATCTGCAGAGGATCTAATTTTTACGCTAGAACTACTTAGCGGGGCGCCCCTGGCTAGGCACAGGCATTTTTCCCATGCAGAACAAACAATCGGGGACTATTTGCGTTTCTAGCGCTGACAGGAACACAGGCAAATTTCCTTTTATAGTTAGGTAGCAGCACGCCTGACCGCTGTGGGGATTTGAGCCACTTCGCCGTTTGCACAATTGAACTGCCATTCTAATTTTATCAAAGAGATACAAAAGTGCAATTGGGCTTCATGGTCAAATTAACGCATCCAAAGGGAAGGGAAAGAATCCCTTTGAAAACCAGTTTATTACAAGCACAACACTTTCCCAAGCAAACAGCACGGTCAATCACAACAATTAGAAATTGGAAGTCGTTTGTCCGTTTATCATACGCGTCACGAGCTTTTTATAATATGCTGCTATCCTCTGCTGGCCTTTACTTGCACTGTGTGTCACAAAACGCGAAGCGTGTGTTACGATCTAAAACAACACTCCCGACGTCATTAGCGGCATAAGCATCACCTATAAGTATAGAGACAACTATGAGAACTAAGCCGACTTCAGTGATATTCTACTCGGCGCCACGTCTTCTATAGTTCAAACAGGAGAATGTAATATAGGCGCTTTTGCCACCGGCCACGACTCGCGGTTTATAACCTGTTACCAGAAGCAAGCCGACTTGGAGCGCCCTAAGGAGCTCTTGATATGGTATTCAGATCTAACTAACTTCCGCAGTATCATCGACTTCTTCGAGCAGGTGGCCCCAGCGCTCATCAAGGTGGCCATCAACGCTATCAAAGGTTCTAACCCAACCTGCTTCGATTCGAGGGTCCATGTCAGTATTGCGCTAGTTGTCTTGCTATGGCTGAGTGCTAGTCCTTAATAGTTGGATAGAGGATAAGTGGCGGGCGCCTTTATAGACCTGAGTCAACTAGGCGGACTCAGCGATTTCTGTCACGCGCATAGCTTTACCCCACGATTTTAAGCGCAAAGAGAAGTGGGTATTCCAAGTATCCCGTAATACTATAGTAGCCTTTCTCTTTCCGCTTCGCTTATAGCGTATAAGACGGTATTTAGAATCCTTCTTGCTGTTTACGGTAAAGCCTGACATCTCACCCGACGAGTTCCGTAGGCTCTATAAGATGTCTCACGTGCCGCTCGTGCGGTCCATTACCGGAGACCTTTTCCCGGTATCGCACTCTCATGTCTATTGCGTACATTGGCCTTGACGGCATGAAGAAGGATCAAGACCACGCGTCGGTAGTGCTGTCGGGCGACGCAAAGCTTCTCGAGTGTGACGCCCTGACGACAATAACGTTGGAGACGCGGCCCCGCTATGAGGCTTTCAAGAGCAGGCTGATGGAGGAGGAGAATGGAGCGAAAATTGTATTGGACTGTGCCAAGTTCATAAACGCCGGCCGAACGGCTATGGTGGTAATTGGCGATGTGATTGAGTGCAGCTGGGGAGAAGGCATGCTCCGGGTGTATGCTGCATACTGTACGTGTATGCTGCATGCATGTGCGGGGTGCATATACAAACCACATGATCTGTGTGTGGGTGGAGCCAGGCCAAGCTTCAAGAGGCGTAAGTACAGAATCTGGACCCCTTGCAGCATCACAATGCCAACAACGTCGTCGTCAACATCAACGCCTCTTTCACCCAGCGTGCGCATCCTGCATTCCGTCAGTGAAGCAATGTCAGATTGTCATGATGAATCGCGGCGCGCCCGTAAGCGCGCCACCGACCGCAAATCGCAGCGGAATCATCGCGAACGCCAGAAAGCCTACATACAGCATCTCGAGCAGTCCCTAGCTACATTCAAGGCTGCTGCTGACTCGGACCAGCGTGTTAGTAGACTTGTTGCCGAAATTGATCGTCTCCAAAGAAAGTGCTCCTCACTGGAGCTGCAACTTGCCCGCGTCCGAGCCGTTGTTTGCGACACTCCCAACCATGACGTTGAGCAGGTATTGCCGCAAGAGACATATACTGCCTCCAATCTTGGCCACGATGACCTGGGACTATCAGACCAAGGTGGGGATTTTACTGCAGCTGGGGGGGACCTCCCCGACATGCAAGTCGGCACGTGCGATGCTGACAAGAGCTTGTCTGCTGATGACAGCAATTTATCTGTCCGGGACTTGAGAATGTATGCTATCGACTGCGATCCGCCAACACGCGATGGAGATCCGCAAGCAGCGACCCCCTTGCAAGACATCCCGGGAATCGATATGGTGCAAACCGCCACAGACATGATTACCGAACAGCTCTTCACCATGCTCACGCCCACCCACGACCCACTGGCGTCTCTGACCGACACATGTCCTGTCGCATTTTCATCACCTTGCTTACCCCGGTATACCGCTGCGGCAGGCATCTCAGACCGGTGTCTATTGGCCATGCTAGAAGAAGCACGCGCGGAGCATCGCCAGCGCAGCTTTGACACTACCAAGCCCAGTCTAAGGCGCCTTCTTTGTATGCCAGCATGCGACACCCTGGCTTTTCGGCTGTTTCACTATATCAAATCGTACGGTGCCATGCCGTTACATATACTTTTATCTATTTTCTGGGTGCAATATCTCTTCCTCAGGGTACGATACTCCATTCAACCGCTATAAAAGCATAGCTAATCGTTCCAGTGGCATGTACTTGAGACTACCGAAGCCTATGAACAGATACCATCTTTTCTAAGACCTACACCCATTGAGTATCAAATACCACACCGCATCAGCATCAACATGATAGTCTGGCCTGATCTCCGACAGATGCTGATCCGTGATGCTCTCACTACAGACCCGGATGTGATAGGAATCGATCTCATGAATAATCTGCATCCACACTGGCAACCAGCATGTGCACTTGGCAATGAGTTCATTGTCAGCTTGGACGTTCTCGGAATGATTGAACAGCAAGCTTGTTCGCGTGAGTTCTGGAAGGTAGGTGAAGCATTTTCGAAAAAGCACTACCTTTACAGTAACTGTGATTTGTTCTGAGACGAAGCACTTCGCGCTATTCCGTCCCTACATTGAAAGCCTTGGCGAGAAAGGAAGTAATGCTTTCCCAGCACGCCTCAACATCATCCTTCCTGTAGTCCTTACTGCCTTCCTTGTAATGGCTGAAGCCATGAATGGCCTCGGGATATTCATGAAACTCGACATGGACCCCGGCATCCTTCAACATACGACCGTATTGTTGTCCTTCATGTTTCAGGCAGTCCATTCCGGCCAGATGTATGGATGCTGGAGCTAGTCTCGGCTGCAATTCACGCAGTAGATTCTGTCCCGCAAGCAATGGCGCAACGAAAACGGAGTTCTTTTCCACAAAAGGTGGCAAATAAGCTGCCTCCATGAGTTCGGCCACCCACACTGGAAGTGACATGGCCTGATCATCTACACTTGCCGCCTCGTACCGATTTCGATACGCTTCATTGCAGGCAGTGCTAGCGTAAATCAGAACCTGTGCGACTTGACGGTACTGCGATGGCAGCCCCTCCCTGAACTTGCGGCATGGTCCCGCCGTGTATGAAGTGAGTAAAGATAGGGACGCTGCTAGGTTGCCACCCGCTGAGTTTCCCATGAAAGCAACGAGGGCAGGGTTAATAGTGACTTTGGTTTGCTCCGTGAACCCTTCAGAGAGTGCCCATTGGAGAACTTCGTGCAGTTGGATCAATGCGTGTGGGAATGGGTACCGCGGTGACTTGGCATAGTCCACAGAAACTACGACTGCGCCAAGCTGAGTGAGGTTTAGATTTAGAACAAGTTGGGAAGAGGAGGGTGATACGTACCTTGTCTGACAATGAACGAACAATGTCTTCACCATCTGATGGCTGTCCAAGTACGAAGCCTCCGCCTTCGAAAACCAAAATGAGAGGTAATTGACTTCCTTCTCTCAGCTTGCCCTCAGGCGGTAAACACAACGAGCACCGCACGCTTCCTTCTCCAAGACCCGGCGTTGGCACGGCAATTTGCGCATCAAACCTTGCTCCAGTGCCGGTCATTGACGCCACAGCTTTGCGCAGAATCCATGCTGCTGTATGAAGATACAGCGAGTAGGCATACGAGTAGCCTGGTCCCGAAGTGACTTGTGGTGCTTTGGTCTGTTGCATAGTATGTTGTGCAATACGATCACCTACACTTTTCAGCGCACGAGATTGACTCGGCTACCGGGTAGGATAAAAATGGGGTTGCAAAAACACTGACACCGCTTGCATTACGTCCGCCTCTTTCCCCCGCTTACCAAGGTCCACTCACGTGAATGATGAACATGTCAGTCCTTGGGCGATGCAGTGATCGCGCTATTGCCGGCTACAAATGCTAACTATCGCACGGCCTCTGTTGATGAAATCGTGACTACTCGGACAGTACAATGACCAGCACAACAGAGCAGACGAATGGCGCACATGTGACCAATGGGGAAAAGCTAGGTCAACTCCCTCAACGCGATGAACGATCCGGCCTCGTAAACCAGTGGCATTCACAGCCATCTGTCGTCCGGATTATTCATATTGGCGCTGGTGCCACGGGACTTTGTGCTGCTTACAAGATGCGCAACGCGCTCAAAGACTATGAACTTGTTTGCTACGAGAAAAACAATCAAGTCGGGGGCACATGGTTTGAAAGTAGGTTTTTTTGAATGTCTTGGTGGAAACAAACTGATCGTCTTTAGACACGTACCCTGGGTGCGCCTGTGATGTGTACGTGAGTCTGAAATGCAGGATATCCGCATTGCATTTGCATCGCTAATATACATAGACCTGCACATGTATATACATACACTTTTCGACCGAATCCGAAGTGGTCTTCTTATTATGCTGTACGTCACTCTCTGCAAACCAGTGCTGAGCCGAAACTGATACTTTTCTCATCAGTACTCGTCTGAAATCCTCGACTACTTCCAAGACTTTTATAGGGAGCAAGAACTTTCCAAATATGTGAAGTTGGAGCATCGCGTTCTCAGTGCTACGTGGCACGAGAAAAAAGGTCAATGGGAGGTTGCCATCGAGCACGATGGGAAGATATTTACAGACTGGTGCCATGTTCTTATGAATGGTTCAGGATTGTTGAACAAGTGGCGCTGTAAGATACTTGCCAGCACTTATTGCAATAGCAGTGACTTAATGAAATACAGGGCCAGATATCAAGGGTCTCAACACATTCAATGGCCCAGTCGTTCACTCTGCACAATGGGATAGTAAGCATATATTCAGAGCTATTGTCGATGCGCCGACGCCAACAAAAATCAGGCTCCATCAGCTACAATGATAAGATAGTGGCAATTCTTGGAACAGGTTCATCGAGCATTCAGATCTTGCCTCAAATTCAAAAGGGTACGCTATTTACAAATCAGCTACATTCATAGAATTACTGATAGTGTATTAGTTGCTACACAGGTGAAGGCTTTCCTCAGAAGCCCAACGTGGATTGCCCCGCCTATGCAGCGAATTCCGGTGGATGCGCCTAGCCCTGAGAACCCTGAGCCGGAAGAGATACCCAACCCGCTCATTCAGCAATACTTTTACAAAGACCATGAAATCAAATATTTGTCTGAAAACCCCGAGCAACATCTCACATACAGAAGGAAAATCGAGTACGCTATTAACCGAGGGTTTGCCATTTTTTACAAGGACACGGAAGCGTCTCAGATGGCTGAGTGGTACATGCGAAACGAAATGGAAAAACGGCTAGCGAGCAACCCCGAGCTACAGAAAAGACTGATTCCGAGCTTTCCTCCAGGCTGCAGGCGCCTCACGCCTGGCGATGGCTACTTGGAAGCCCTGGTCCAGCCGAATGTAACAAACATCTTTGATGACATTCAGTCAATCAATGAAACTGGACTCACAACGAATGATGGAAAGCATCACCAGGTCGACGTGATCGTATGCGCGACTGGTTTTGATATGGCCTGGACTCCGCACTTTGGTCTGACGGGTGTAGATGGTGTTGACATCAAGAAGGCTTGGAGCCCTTTACCACAGTGTTATCTGGGTATTGCTGCCCCAGAATTCCCCAATTACTGGGTAATGAATGGACCGCGTGGAGCCTTGGGAAATGGAACTGTTCTTCCGTGCTTTGAGCTACAAATCGACTACGTTATTGAGGCGGTTAAGAAAATCCAAACGGAACGTATCAGAGCAATGGATGTGCGTACAGACATTACCGACAAGCTCAACGAATATATCGACAAGTGGATGGATACCTCGGTCTTCAGCGCCAACTGCAAAAGTTGGTACAAGAACAATACCCTGGACGGCAAGGTCATTTGCTGGGGAGGATCGGTAAGTGTTTAATCCCGCTCGGTTATTTTACAAGCTAATCCGAGCAAGTCACTTCACTATCTCAAAACCCTCAAAACTCCTCGATGGGAACACTACAACATCCGGTATCATGACGATGACCCGTGGGGATTCTTGGGTAACGGCCGCATCGAAGCTGAGACGAAGGATGACTTTTTGGGCATGACGAGTTACTTGAGAAACTCAGATCACGGATGGGAAATTAATTAGTTCATACATGTCATGTTGGTGAGATTGTCGTGCAACGATACACGCTCAGGTCAAGTCTATTTTGTATCAGAGAATTTCAACTTGAAAATGCCAGCTTCTCCCTTGTCTTGCACACTGTCCTTCCTAACTTCTGCTTCGCTAGTATAACCGAAGTTGCTGCACCACCATGTATCCTCATCCATGTCGACAGCATAGGCACCATTGGAAGCTATGCTAGTACTGGTCGTTGTCGGTCCGTTGGACTTGAGGACTTGCTCAGCGGCGATGTCACGATTCTCCTGGTTCCATATGAGGACTCGCTGGTACTCTTGATTCAACATCCCGGGCGGGTCAAACTCGTAATGGCGAACCAGCGGCCGACCCTCGACAAACAAATCCTCGATGGCCTGGATGACGGGCGTGAAAGCGGGCGTTTGCCAAAAGTCCCAATGATCCTGAATCTTGTCCCAGTCGAGCATCCATACCAGCTTCTTCTCATCTGTGAGCGAGAAGCCCCAGGCCATGCGCTTGATTCCCTTGCCGTCTTGACAGTTGGCGATTATGCGTTGCTCGAAATTGCGCAGAGTCTCGGGGGACTGAGGATGTTTCAACTCAAATATGGCAACCTCTGTGATAGGCTTGTCCTGTGCTGGGAGGTATGTTTTGAGGAGCTGCGTGTGCGCTGCCATGCGCTCTGCGGAGTTGGCCATGGCGTAATTGAGTGCACGTGATGTCGGGTATCTCCAATAAGTTCGGTTTGGAGTGAGATGGGCCGGTTGCAGGAGCAATAATGATGCATTCTTATTGTCGTATATGGAGTGCAACAAACAGGCTTAGGCTCAGAGGCACCGACCAATTGGGAGAATCTGAATACGACCGTATTGGCGTATACGCAAGCGGGTCCTAACGCGCGTGAGATCAGCGTCCTACTTCCAAGCGTTGTCAGGCAAGCTGACTCCGCCGTCCGTGCTTCCCAGCATTTCCATCCAGGGACTTGTGGCTGATAATATGCAGCCGGCCTCGGTTTCACACTTACACACACACACACAGTTCCATTGACTCTGCGTACCCATTTTTGGGCGCCATGTCTGCTGAAGCTTCTTCCCCGGTGCTGGTGCAGATTCTCTCGCAGCCATGGGCAATCTTTGGGATCGTAATCACCTTGGCTGTTATCAAACATGTCTACGACAGCAGGAAGTCAGTAAGTCTGGTCCTTGCGCATCCCTCGCGCCGAAAATAATTAACACCAAGGCGCAGCCGGACGTCCCGGGGATCGGCTATGGCTCTTTCCCAATGCTTCGTCAATGGAGAGGTGCAATCAGTTTTATGCTGGACCCAGCCAAGCACATGATTGAAGGCTGCAACAAATACGGCAAATCATATTTCAAGGTGTCAACTCTCCAGGATGAGTACCTCGTAGTTTCACAGAAGGAAAAAATACAAGAGGTAAGTCATCCCAGTTATCCACGACTATATCGCAGTGCGCCGTTGCAGCTGATACGTCGAATAGTACCTCGCAGCGTCCGACGATGTGCTAAACGCCCAGGATTCTTTTAATGATGTAGGTATACAATCTTATCGTAGTTATGATAGTAGCTCATTGTCACAACAGGCATTTCAGATTCCGTGGACAATGGGTTGGGGTGTCGCACATCGAGCATATCATGTCCCCCTAGTTCGCGTTAATCTAACACAGAATATTTCTCGCAATGTTCCGGGCATGATGCAACAAGTCGAAGAAGGGCTTCAGCAAGGTTTTGGCGATCCAGAAGGTGAGATATCATGGCCCCTGTCTCAGTCAATATCCCAACTAAAAGCACAACAGACTGGGTTGAGGTCCCCCTATATGACACCATTGCCAAAATTGTCGCAAAAGTCAGCAATCGAGCTTTTAGTGGGATGCAATTATGTAAGTCCAGTGGCTGAGCTGAATGCATAGCCATACGGGTTGAACACTGACTTACAATCTTAGGCCAAAACGAAGAGCACTTGCAGAATGTAATGGATTATGCCCAAGCTGTTGTCCTATCAGCAGAGCTCATCAGGCCATTTCCCAACTGGTTGAAGCCGTGCGCAATACTCACTGCTCTAAATGAAATTCGATGCTAACAGGGTTTGCCAGGTTTCTGGTCAAGTTCACGCCTATCGGGTCCCGCAAGAGGCGCGCAATGCAGATCATGGGACCCATTGTCCAGGAGCGTTTAACTAAGGATTACAAAGAAGGCGAGAAGCCGGATGACATGATCCAATGGCTCGTAGATGCCGCGCCTCCGGTCGAGCGGACCGTTCCGCAGATCGTCGAGCGTATCATGGCCTTGAATGTTGCGTCCATTCACACTACAACTATGGTAAAGTCCTCCCTTCCTTCTGATCCTTCGGTATGCTCACTACAACCAGACTCTGACATCAGCCTTATACACTCTCGGGGCAGAATGGGAAAAGTACACTCAGCCACTACGAGATGAGGTACGGCAATACTGCGAAGACAACGAAATCACAAAGCAAACGCTCGGAAAATTGGTCAAGATGGACAGCTTCCTTCGCGAAAGCGGACGTTACAACAATACGGGACTAAGTACGCATTCTCTGGTCCCAACTGCGCTAAGCGTCTCTAACGAGTAACAGCGAACCTCATTCGCAATGCCCGCAAAGAGTTCCGCTTCAAAGATGGAACTATCGTACCTCCTGGTGCCATTATCACAGCGCCGCCCCTTCATCTGCATCGCAGCGAAGAGTTCTACACTAATCCTCAAGTTTTTGACGGCTTCCGATTTAGCCGCTTAAAGGAGGAATCACAAGGACCAACGAAGCACCAAATGGTCAGCACAGACATTGAATATCTCCTTTTTGGCCACGGAAAGCATGCTTGGTAAGTTACTATCAATGCAAGTGCATTGATTGAGCTAACGTGTAATGTAGTCCGGGACGCTTTTTCGCAGTCAATGAGATGAAGTTGATTTTTGCGAAGTTACTTCAACAGTATGATTTAAAGCTCATCCCTGGGACAGCACCCAAAGCTATGTTTATAGGTACCATGGCGGTCCCAGAAACTAAATTAAACGTATTACTGCGTAAGTGTTACAAGTAACAAGAAGGATTCTCTCCTTGACAAATGACGAGATGGCTGAAGGCCTAGGGACGTCCACGTCAGAAGGTAATGATCAACGCGGGGCGAAGATCACGTGA